ACGTATAGGAGGATTAGGAGGAACTTGACGGAGAAACAAGGGGGAGAAGAAGGGCGGAAGTGGTGGGGGAAAGGGAGAGAGGCAAACCATGAGAGACTCTTGAATGCTGACAAAAACTGAGGACTGATGGATGTGGGGGGGAGGCGGGGATGGGCATGGAGGAGGACACTTGTGGGGATGAGCACTGAGTGTTATGTGGAAACTAATTTGACAATAAACTATTTGTAAAAAAAAAAATTAAAAAAATTGTCAAAAAAAAAACCCCAAAAAACAAAATGCAATTGCTTTGTCTTTTAAGGTCTCTCATTTAATACTGATTTAAATATTTCTGTATAACTCTGATTCAGGTTTTTGTTCCGCATTTTTTAGTTTCTGGAACTAATGTATTGGAAGTATCATGAGAAAGCTGCAGAAAAGGGGGCTTATATCATTGGAAGCAGTGGCTTTGATTCCATTCCAGCAGACCTGGGAGTTATATATACCAAAAGCAAGATGAACGGTAATTAATATATGCCAAAAACAAGATGAATGGTAATTATCAATCAAGAAGCAATAAGTGAATTTACAGTAGAAAGTCTTCATGTTCGTAAGTATGGAAGAGAAACAGAACTATCAGTGGGTAATGTTAAAACACATGCTTTGTTTTTAGTATAGCTATAATTGTTATAAAATGTGATGGGGTGCCTGGGGGTCCCAGTCGGCTAAGCATCTGACTCTTGATCTCAGCTTAGGTCTTGGTCCCAGGTTGTGGGTTCAGGCCCTTTTTTGGGCCTTGTGCTAGGCATGAAGCCTACTTAAAAAAAAAATGCTACTGACCCTATTTTTTGAGATGTGGTTAGTACTGTGCGTGTTCTAGTGGGGAATTATCCATTGTCTCAATTTAGTTATGGTTAGAGCTGTCCATTTCTGGAAAAAGAATTTCTGACAGCCATTGTAAATTCAAACTTGCTTGGTTTAGGAATTAACACATTTAAGAATATAATTTATATAGCTATTATAATTGAAGGCTTAAAAATTTTATAATCAACAAAGCTAAGAAGCATTGAACAAATATTTTCACTTCTATTTCACGCCATTTGTAAAAGGAAACAATAAGTTAAGAAGGGAAAAAATCATGCTTATTGGGCAGCACATCATACTGAGATTGGAACAACATGGAGGAATGAGCCTGTGCCTGAGGAGGGATGACACGCAGCTACGCGAAGCGTTCTATGTATTTGAGACAACAGGTGTTGGCGAGGATGTGGAGAAAAAGGAACCCTGTGCACTGTTGGTGGGAACGCAAACTGGTGCAGCTGCTGTGGGACATAGCAGGGAGATGCCTCAAAAAGTTAAAAATAGAGGAGCGCCTGGTTGGCTTAGTCGGTTAAGCGTCCGACTTTCGCTTAGGTCATGATCTTGCCGTTCGTGGGTTCGAGCCTCGCATCGGGCTCTGTGCTGACTGCCAGCTCAGAGCCTGGAGCCTATTTCAGAGTCTGTATCTCCCTCTCTCTCTGACCCTCCCCTGCTCACGCTCTCTCTTTCTCTCTCCTAGAAATAAAAAAAAAAAAAAAAAAAGCAAGTACACACTAGGAATTTACCCAAATGGTACAAGACACCAACCATTTCAGAGGGATGCCTGAGCCCTCTGTTTATTGCCGCACGAGTTACAGCAGCCAAGATAGGGAAGCAGCCGCATGTCCGCTGATGGATAGATGGATGAAGATGTGTGCACACACCCACATAGATAGATATGGATATATGTGTGTATATACACACGTGCACACACTGGAATATTACTCGGTCATAAAAAATAATGAAATCTTGCCATTTGCAACAACATGGATGAAGCTAGAGAGTATAATGCTAAGTGAAGTAAGTCAGTCAGAGAAAGACAAATACTATATGATTTCACTCATGTGGAATTTATGAAACAAAACAAACAAGCAAAGAGGGAAAAAAGAGGCAAACCAAGAAACAGACTCTATTTTTTTTAATGTTTATTTATTTTTGAGAGAGAGCACGAGTGGAGGAGGAGCAGAGCGGGAGACACAGAATCTAAAGTAGGTTCCAGACTCTGAGCTGTCAGCACGGAGCTTGACAGGGGGTCAAACCCATGGACCACGAGATCATGACCTGAGCTCAAGTCGGACATTTAACTGACTGAGCCTTCCAGGTGCCCCGAAATAGACTCTTAACTATAGAGAACACACTGATTGGTCACCAGAGGGGAGGTGGTGGGGAGTGGAGTAAATAGGTGATGGGGATTAAGGAATGCACTTGTGATGAGCACTGGGTGATTACCATAAAAATCTAAAAAAAAAAAAGAAATGAATGGTAGCAATAGATACACAATTAAAAAAAAATTGCAGAGTTACTAAACTTCCAGAGTTGATGAAAAATGCCCGCTCTACTCCACTGAGAAAATGAACAAAGTTCTTGGTCTTAACAGCTCTTGAAAAGCTTTTTGATGCAAATAATACTAATTTAGAATTAAAAACCCTTTATTTTATTAAAAAAGGGGGAAAAGTAAATACTATGGTAAAACAATGAAAGTTACTAATGTCATGCTTATTTTAAAAGGGTCCATGTAGAAAATGGCACAAAACAGGTAACTCCAGTGTCCTAGGAACCGTTCCAGAGCTGAAACGGTTGGAAAGTGTATCCGTTTATATTAAAAAGTTATCATAGCTCTGAAACCGAAGCCCCAGACAGATAACACTTAAAAGGATAGCACCGAATAAGGCTCCAAAGCAGTCTTGCTTGGTGAAATTAGTAGTAAAAAAAAAATGCTAAATAAAATTTTAATAAATATTCAATGGCATTTTAAGAGAATAATATATTGAGACCAAGGTATATTCAGAAGTTATGTAATCACCACATCAGAATATCAAAGATGAAAAGCTGTATGACCATCTCAGTAAATCATTTGAAAATTCTTCCCATTTGATGATTCAGAGTTTTAGGAATTTAGGAATAGAATATTTATTCACATAATAAATGTCAGAAGGCAATAGCCAATATCATACTCAGTGACAAAGCACTAGAACTATTCCCAAAAAAAAAGAACGTGAATTGAACATCTTTAAAGCATTCAGTCTTGCAGTCATGAACTTGGGTCTCCATTGATCAAAAATACTCTTTTAAATCTGTAAATTTTAGACATTTTGTTCATGATAGTTTTACATATCTCTTACTAAGGTTGTTTTTAAATATTTAGTAGTTTCCGTTATTTGGAATAGGTCTTTTTTTTTTCTTTTAAGAGAAAAATATTACCTCATGCCTTGTTTAAAAACTTTGTTTTCCTGATCTCACAGTTTGTGGGTTTGAGCCCCATGTCAGGCTCTATGCTGCCAGCTCAGAGCCTGGAGCCTGCTTCAGATTCTGTGGCTCCCTCTCTCTCTGCTCCTCCCCCATTCATGTTCTGTCTCTCTCTATCTCTTAAAAATAAATGTTAACAAAGATTTTTTTAAACTTTGTTTTCAGGTACCAAAACCTAAGAGTCAGTGTTTTAACAAGTGCCCCAGCTGATTGATTGATACAAGTGGGCCACACTTTATTGCATGCTCCCTTCGGTGGTCCATGTTCTTTCTATGGACAGGCTAGATCACAGAGCTGTAAATCCCGACTGCGTTCTCTTAGCAACCCACAGAGTCCTCTCAGTGACTTGTATGCAATGATCTGGTGGTCCCCTGGCGATATTTATATGGCTGTAGTCTCACCACTGTGGATGACGTGGTTATTCATTATCTTTCTGTGTCAGCTTTCTAGGGCCCCATAATTTAGTCCTACCTAGGAATTAAAACGAGGAACACTGTCTTCTTAAGAAATTGATATATATTTTTTTTAAGTTTAAAGAGAGCACGTGTGTGCACAGGAGGAATAGAAAGGGGCGGGGGAGAGCCTAGGCAGGCTCCACACTATCAGCACAGAGCCCAATGTGGGATCTCAACTCATGAACCATGAGATCATGACTGAGTCAAAATCAAGAGTCAGACACTTAACCGACTAAGCCACCCAGGCACCCCTTGATATATTTCATATGACCAGATTTTGAAAATTCATGCATTACGTTTTTCTTTTGTCTTACTGCTCGTGATCAATTATGTAACCACTATGCCCATACATTAGTCCCAATGGTCACTGCTTTGGTTTTCTATTATTATGTATACTTATTTTTATTTCATTTTAACAGCCTTACTTTAAGTATTTTAGAAGCCATCACACAGGTCATTTTGATAGGTTTTCTGTGCATTCGTTGTAAATCACTACAACTAAGCCTCTTGAAATTAGTCATACTGGAGAGGAGAGTTCATCCCACAGATGCAGTTTTGAGAACTGTGTCCTCATGGCCTTCCATACTGAGTGAGCCTTGTTGAAAGAGGTTTTTAGTGTTTTCAGTCTGAATACCAGGAACGATGTTATTAGTACCAGCGCTTAGAGCTTATTCTAAATGATTCTTTCTGACAGCCTACCTGGCTTCGGTTGCTTCTAAAGTCTCTTCCAGTAACACAACAGAACTGTCACCAGTATCGATTTTCTGACTGTATCAGCTACAGGCTTGGTAAATGCGGTCCTCAAAGGGACAGGAATAGTTTATTACTGTATGTCTTGGTTACATAGATCTTACTCGGTTTTATGTTTGCTCTTCTACTCTTTTAGGTATGCTGACGGCTGTGGAAAGTTTCCTGACTATACATTCCGGACCTGAGGTTAGTTTTTCTGTTTGTCAGGTGATTTTTTTAAAGTTAATATTAAAAATATTTTGGAAATAAGTTACATTAAAAAAGAACATTTTAGGGGCACCTGGGTGGCTTAGTCGGTTAAGCATCTGACTTCGGCTCAGGCCGTGATCTCGCAGTTCATGGGTTCGAGTCCTGCATCAGGCTCTGTGCTCACAGTTCAGAGCCTAGAGCCTGTTTTGGATTCTGTGTCTCCCTCTCTCTCTGCGCCTCTCCTACTCACGCTCTGTCTCAAAAATAAACATTTTAAAAAAATTTTGGAAATGATACATGCCTCCTGAAAAATATTTAGACTAATATCCTATGCATGTGTAATATATGAAAGTTCCTATGTTTAATTTTAAAAAGTAAATGATAGATTACTGGGAATTACTTAGACTTAAGATAGAATTTTGTTAAAAACAACTGCTTAGCCCATTGTATTAGAACGAGATACCAGCATCCCAACACTGAATTATCTATTGTCCTTGTGCAATAAATGTTGTCAGCCAACGTGATTGTCACCTTAGTGTCAGTCAGCACACTCCTGTTATCTGCCTCACTTGGAGTGAGGTGCTATTGTGGCCATAAAAAAATATATATGGTGTAATTACTGAATTTATAGTTTATTTGGGAACCTAAGACAGTTGTGTTTCTGAGAGGACCATGCTTTTTGATAGTACTTTTATTGCCAGTAGTGTCTGACCCAATCCTAGGTCTTCACCTGAGGCTTCATAAGTATTGTTGTCTTTAAAACACATTCATTCAACAAACACTCAGTAGTTGTGCACATGTATACAGTAATGCAAGGTGATGTGACACATAAATGAGTCCAATGCAAACCTGTCCTTCAAGACAAAATAATTCAGCTTGGCAGGAGATGGAAACTAAAGGGATGAGATGAAATACTATTGGATTCTGAGGATGGAGAGTACATCTAGCTGGGGGGCCAGAGATAAGACCTGTTATTTATGTTTTTATATTTTATATATATTTTTAATGTTTAAGCTTATTTATTTATTTTGAGAGAGAGAGAGACAGCGTGAGCAGGAGAGAGGCAGAGAGAGAGAGAGAATCCCAAGCAGGCTCCACACTGTCAGTGCAGAGCCTGATGGAAGGCTCGACCTCATGAACTGTGAGATCATGACCTGAGCCGAAACCAAGAGTCAGACGCTTAACTGACTGAGCCACTCAGGGCCCCCCAGAGGTCAGAACTGTCAGAGGCTGTGGCATGGACTGACGCTCAGAGGTTGATGCTGTGGAGATGGGACACAGGAGAGGGAAGCGTAGGCGCAGGACGTGGGTGTGGGACGGTACAGAGTCAGGTGGGAGGGCTGGCTGTAGTCGTCTGGATCGTGGGTTCAGAAGAATAAACACAAAGAATTATAGAAACATGCTAAAATTCGTGGGGAAAGGGGCACCTGGGTGGCTCAGTTGGTTAAGCATCTGACTTCGGCTCAGGTCATGATCTCGTGGTTCATGGGTTTGAGCCCCGCATCGGGCTCTGTGCTGACAGCTCAGAGCCTGGAGCCTGCTTCCTATTCTGTGTCTCCCTCTCTTGCTGCCCCTCTCCGCCTCAAGCTCTGTCTCTCTCTGTCTCAAAAATAAATAAACATTAAAAAAATAATAATAAAATTTGCAGGTAAAGAGCATGCCCACTAGTGTCTCAGAATAAAGGGAGGGGATAGTGGGCCTGGGGAACTGGGAAGGCCTCCTAGAGGCCTTGCTGAGTTTAGCCTTGAAGAGCAAACACCATGTGGAAGGTCAGAGGCAGGGACCTGAACTAGGCCTCAGGAACAAGCGTGGAGGACATGCTTAGAGCTGTGGGGAGCATGCTCAGCCCGGTTTTTTAATTTTTTTTTATTTTATTTTTTTAATATAAATATGTATTTTATTTTATTTATTTTGTTTTACAAATAGTTTATTGTCAAATTAGTTTCTACATAACACTCAGTGCTCATCCCCAAAGTGCCCTCCTCCATGCCCATCCCCCCCTCCCCCCCACATCCATCAGTCCTCAGTTTTTGTCAGCATTCAAGAGTCTCTCATGGTTTGCCTCTCTCCCTTTCCCCCACCATTTCCGCCCTTCTTCTCCCCCTTGTTCCTCCGTCAAGTTCCTCCTAATCCTCCTATACGTGCAAACATATGATATTTGTCCTTCTCTGCCTGACTTATTTCGCTCAGCATAACACCCTCAAGGTCCATCCACGTTGCTACACATGGCCAGATTTCATTGTTTCTCATTGCCATGTAGTATTCCATGGTATAGATAAACCACATCTTCTTGATCCATTCATCATGCTCAGCCCGGTTTAAACCAACAGAACTGAAAACGAATCTACTGATTTGTGTAACCAGTGTCTGCAAGTAGATAATATGGCTGCATCTAGATGTTCAGATGGTATTATTAGACCTCTTCCTCCCCCACGCCCAAATCCTGTGTTTCTGTCTCTTTCATCACTTCTGGGTTTGTCTGCATTGGCTTCCAGAGTGCAGAGAAGGTGCTGGCAGTCTTGGGTACACATTGTCCTTAATGGTCCTCATTTCCTGGGACCGGAGCTGATGTATTGCGTGATGGGGAAGTGCTGGGCCACTTGGCTGTTCTTGGACCAGTCAGTGTCATGGAGTAGTCAGATTGCCCAGGTGGTCATGGGGGTCTGGAGAGAGGCCCATAGAGTCAGTCTCATCCATACAACATGGTACAAGTTCCAGAAGGGAAAGAGACTTTCAGAGGCAGAAGATTGTGGGGAACTGCTGACTGGGAGAGTCGGACAAGAGGCTTCTTTTGAAAGAACAGTGGGAGATGCAATTGGAAAGACGAGGTAGAGGTAGTGAGGGTGTCTTCCCTTTCCTAGAGGAATAGGAGAGACCCTGAGTGGGTGGTTCTCACTGAGTCGGGTCAGGAGTCCCTCCTAGAATGTACAGATTTTGAACCTGGATTGCCTGGGCTTGAATTCTGGCCCTGCCACTTACCAGGGACATGACCGTGGGCAAGCCAGTGGTACTTCCCTCATCTCTAAAAGGAGGCGTTCAGTGTGTCTATTCCGTATGGTCACTACGAGGCTTACATTAGTCAACGAATATAAATCAGAGCTGTGGTTGGCAGGTGGCAAGTTGCTCAATAAATGTTATTTAGTATTATTAATATTACTGGAACTTAAAATTGTGGCTTCACTCAGGACAGAAGGAGGCGAAGCATCCCTATCAGTGCATCCCCTTTCACTCCCCAAAGGCAGAGTCCACGGGCTCAGGGTTACAGGGACGGGGAAATTGCGACACCCTGAGTCATGAGCTGCTCTCGTGCCCCCCCTTTATCTTCTGTTTCCCCTTGAGCTTTTTCATTTTAAAAGAAACATTGTATCACAGACTGTGTGTCTGGTCAGAAAGCAAGACTCAGAGACTTTCAGAGGGTTGAAATCCTGTTCTGTAGAAGGGCGCTGTCCGGGAGATCCTCCCACAGCGGTGAAAACGGCCCGCGCGTGCTGCGTGTGGCTTCCACGCGGACTGGCTGGCTGAGCTCTAGAGCAGTCCAGGGGCCTCTTCCGTGTCCTGCAAGCCAAGGATGGTTTCTGGGTATTTGAAGGGCTGCCACAGAAACATATGTAGTAAAACCTAAAAATCTGACCTTTCGGAGCCAGGATGCCAACCTGTCCTAGACAACATGTGCTTTAGACCACAGCGCAGTTATGCTCGAGGTCAGTGAAAAAGTGATGTGGGAAGCCCTGTCCATTTAGGCATTATGGAATCTATTTTAAATTTGTGTCATCAACCCAGAGCTCTCTTCTAAACTCAGACTTGAAACATCCCATCACGTAATTGACATCTCCACTTGAACTTGATAGACGTGCAAACTGTGCTTTTTGTCCATAGCCCACCTCCTGTTTTCCCTTCTAAGTGTGCTCCACCCTCAGCTCATTTGTATCCATTTCGGTAGGTAGCGATGCGTCCGTCCACGGATTCGGGTCAGGTGGTAGGATCATCGCTCTCTTTGTCCCCTGAAACCCGAGTCCAGTCTGTCTGGAAATCCTGTCGATTCTGCCTCCGAGATCGCTTTTCACCATGTCTCTTCCTGCCACCCTGTTCTTGCTGCCACCTGTCCCTGTACACCTCGACACAGCAGCCTGGGTGATCCTTTTCAGACATAACCCGGTCACGTCCTTCCTCGGCTCAGAATTCTGTAGTGGCTCCTGACTGCATCCGGAGTGCGAGCCAAACGTCCTTCCAGCGAGTGATTATAACTGATCTGGCCCCAGTTAGTCTCCAGTCTCCTCTCCCACGGAATGTCCCTCATTCATTCTTCATTTTTTAAAAAGTTTATTTATTTTGAGAGAAAGAGAGAGAGACAGGATGAGTGGGCGAGGGGCAGAGAAAGAGGGAGGCAGAGATCCCAAGCAGAGCCCCATGTAGGGCTTGAACTTACTAAACTGTGAGATCATGACCTGAGCTGAAACCAGGAGTCTGACGTTCACCCGACTGAGCCACCCAGACGCCCCATATATTCATTTTTTATTGAGCTTATCATCCTCTCTGGAATGTGAGCACCACAAAAAGAAGGCTCCTTGTCTGTTGAATTCACCAAGCATCTAGAACAGTGCTGGTCACATAGTAGGAGCTCAGTTAGTGTTTGTTGGCTGACTTGAGTGGATGAGGCTAACTTTACCTTAATTCCAAAACTCTATGGGAATAAGTCCAGCACGTAAAAGTACAGTCCAGTTTCATAGGAATATAGAGGTAAAAATCCTAAATAAAATACTAGCAGATTAAAAGCAGTAATACATAAGACGAAGAGCACATTTTGACCAAGTTAATTTTAGAAAAGGATTGTGAGGTTTAACACGATATAATCACTTTGATTCGCCTCACTAGCAGGGTAAAGGAGGACGGGCATAGGATCGTCTCAATAAACAGAAACGGCTTTTGATAAAATGTAACTATTCACGATTAAAATTCACAGCAGGCTAGGAGTGGAAGGGAAGATGATCTTTTATTAA